CAGGTTGGAAGGGGGCTGTGAGCAACCTGATGTGGTTCAAGGTGTCCCTGCTCCTGCAGGGGGGTTGGGCTGGGTGACCTCTAGGGGTCCCTTCCCACCCAAAACAGTCTGATTCTATGATTCCCTCCAGGGCCATGTTGAAGGTTTTGGGGCCCATGGCGCTATGGGAAGGACGAGATCTGCAGAGTCCGATAGCCGGGCTGGCTAGCGAAGCCGTGCAGTCACGGGGGTGGAAAATCCTGCTCGGCCGTGGTGCAAATAGAGGAGCTCTCCTCCCTGGTTGGGATTTTGGCAGCGAGGCGACTGGGGCTCACCCTGCTGGCATGCCACCGGGCCGCTCGGGGCGTCAGCAGCCGCATTCCAGCCGGGTTATTTTCTCCACCCCCTGTTGCTCAAGCGCAAAGGGGGAAGACGTGCCGCGGGGATGCAACGGAGTCACCCTGGGCACAACACGAGCCGTACCAAAAAGCAGGTGGGGCAAGAGGGAGCTCAATGTGCTCCGGGCCACAGGGAGGGAAGAAGGGTGGTGAATCCACCAGGGAGATCCCAGAGGAAGCTCAGATCCCGTCTCCCAGATGAGCAGCATGTGGCACCCTGGTTCCTCGTAACACTGCGTCTCCTCCCCGGCTGCTGGGGCAGGCACCCCGGGGGCATTTTATCTTCCTTTGCCTGTCCTTCCCACCCCAACCCTGGGGACCCCTGCCCCTATCTCTCAGGAGCCGGCAGCACGTCTTCCGCCGTGTAGCCTCCTCTTTGTCTTCCTCCGTGAAGCCTCCTCTTTTTCTTCCCCCTCGGGTCTCCCTCCTCTCCTTGCACAACTCCCTGCCTGCTCCCGGGCTCGGCTTGGCGGGCAGCGGCATGAAGCCGGTGCCACTGCCGATCTCCTGGCCACCCACCGCCTCGGGAACGGCAGTGTGGAGACAGCTCAGCCCGGCAAGCCCACCCGGCAAGCCCACCCGGCAAACCCACCCGGCAAACCCACCTGGCAAACCCACCCAACAAACCCACCCGGCAAGCCCACCCAGCAAACCCATCCAGCAAACCCACCCAGCGCCACTTGGCAGGGAGACGGGAGCAGAGGGGCCCAGGATCAGCTTTCCCACGGGCACGGACAGTGGCCTGAGTTTGCACTGGGAAGGGTTTCTCTTTAGTGGTGGGCCTTCAGTTGGGGGTTTGGGGTTGGTTCTTTTTAATCTCCTCTTTAAAATCTCCCACCCTGTTCAGGCTTTTGCAGGAGCTGAGGACCCGGGCCTCGATGTTTGCCAGGCTGGTGGCGAGTAGGTGGGTTTTCCCAGCTCTGCCGGTGGAAGTTTGAGAACATGCTGGGACCGAGAGGCCCCTTCTGTTTCACGCCTGGTTCTCCTCCCACTCCTCCTCTGCACCTCGGCACGAGTGGGCAAGCTTCAGCAGAAATCCACCCGCCCTTCTCCCTTGGTTTCATTTGCACTTGGGGCTTTGGTTTGCTTTGTGGGCTTGGGTGTTGTGTTTGGTTTCTCACCACCACCACCACCCCCTCAGAGAAAAACAAGAAGTGAGATATCAAGTGGAGAAAAAAGGAAAAAAAAAACACAACAAGTGGGCCAAGATGCCAAGACCATGCTGGTAACATCTCCAAGTGGCACTTTGATGGAGGCTGGTGTCAAACTCGGTGTGGGCGGAGGGAGAGACGGGGACGTGGAGAAGCGGCAAATCTATTCGGCTAGGGAACAGGCAGGCTGATGGGTTGGCATCGGGGGGGACACGATGGGAAGCAGCTCCAACCCTGGGGCTCAGCAGCCCGAGGAGATGCTTCAGGAGCCGTCGAGAGGGGCTGGCTCGGATGCTCGGTAACGGGGGGAAGCTCAAGCCGCCCCAGGGAGCAGGCTGGGGTGGGACGGAGTGCGGGTGAGCGTGTCGGGTGGGTGGCTTGGTGCCAAAAAAGGCCCCAGCAAGGCTGCGAGAGGAGGGATGGGCGCTGTTTGCTCCTGAGCTTCTCCGGGCTGGAAATGACAAGAAGCCAGAGGTTTGTTTTTAGGGATGGAGGACGGGGGGATAAAGGCAGATAAAAAGATCCAGATGCTCACTGTACCTGGTTTGCTTCATGGGCGTGCGTCTGGTAACAGCCAGAAGCACCCGAGCGGGGAAGGGGTGAGGGGAGGAGATGGGTCAGGTGCTAAAATGGGCTCAGAGCAAGAAGAAAAGGAAGAACTAAATAAAATACCAGGCAGCGCTTCCTTGGGTGAGCGTTACCAGGCAGGGGCAAGGACACGTGCGTGCCCTTCCGGCATCGAACCAGTCCCGGGATTGAACGTGCAGCTGGAAGGTGCCAGGGTGAACACAAGGAGTGAAAACGTTCCCAACTTTCTTGGGAAAAAGAGGAGAGGGGAGAGCCTGAGACATCCCAGAGGAGGACTTACAAGTGGTTCCCCAGCATGTTCCTCTTCGTGGCCCCCAGGAAGCTCATCAGGCCGGGATCCGAATGCTCATCTCCCACCATGGTGGGGCCGACTTCCTGCAGGGAAAGGCAGCGGAGCGGGTGAGCGATGTGCGGCAGCCCGGCCGCCCCCGCCCGGCTCCCCAGTACAGCTCCAGTAAGAGCTTGGTTGGGAAGGGAACTACTGGGAGACCCCTGCCCGCCCCAGGAGGGGACCTTGGTGGCTTTGCTGCTGTGGGGCCACCTGCCCGCCCCGGGAGGGGACCTTGGTGGCTTTGCTCCTGCAGGGCCACCTGCCCGCCCCGGGAGGGGACCTTGGTGGCTTTGCTGCTGCAGGGGCACCTGCCCGCCCCCGGCTCCCCAGTACAGCTCCAGTAAGAGCTTGGTTGGGAAGGGAACTACTGGGAGCCCCCTGCCCGCCCCAGGAGGGGACCTTGGTGGCTTTGCTCCTGCGGGGCTGCCTGCCCGCCCCAGGAGGGGACCTTGGTGGCTTTGCTCCTGCAGGGCCACCTGCTGGCTGCACTCTCGGTGGCTCTGGTCCTCTGGGATCCACCACTGGGAAGTCCACAGGACAGCAACAAGGTGCCACTGGCAGCCTCATCATGCAAAACCAGTAAGTCCATGTGGTTTACCATGAAATGAGCACCCCATGGCCAGTTGGGGACCATCTGCCTGTCCCAGTGGAAGGCAGCTTTGGGAATGGCTCCGCTAACTGGGAAGGGTGGGCAGATCGGGGGGAGAAGGCGCCCCGGAGTGACTGGGGCAGGCGAGTGGCTGTGGGATGAGGCTGATGATTTAGGTTGGACATTAGGAGAAACTTCTTTATTGAAAGGGCTGTCAGGCTCTGGAATGGGCTGCTCAAGGAGGTGGTCGAGCCCCCATCCCTGGAGGTATTTAAAAGAAGGGCAGATGAGGTGCTTAGGGACATGGTTTAGTGGTGGGATGGCAGGGTTAGGTTAACGGTTGGACTCGATCTTAAAGATCTTTTCCAACCAAAGTGATTCTATGAGGAGGGACAGGC